GGGCATTTTCCCAATGCCCTCTTGGCATTCATTGGGAGTTTTCATGGTGCAAGCAGCCAGGCCTGTCCCGCTGCTCATCCWCCCAAATCYGTGTTCCATAAASCCTGGAATGGTTTGGGTTGGGATGATTCACCCTCCTGCCATGGGCAGGAACACCTTGCACAGCTGAGGTTCCTCCCAAGCTCCATCTCACCCACCTTTCCCCACAGTGGACTCTCCACCACCACAGAGAGCATCACCCCATCCTGCCACAGCAGAAACCTCTCCTGTTTTTCCTTCTCGACGTTCCCAGACACAGCAGCAGCTGCTGGGATGGCGACCAGGAAGGTGCTCACAACAACACCCTCCACACGAGGTGTTGTGTCCATTCTGAACTCTGTGCCCCAAGGTTTTGGTGGAGGGACGGGGGCAGAACACAGAGAGCTCTGCAGTGCCTCAGTCCTTCCCACGTTCCTTGGATTCTGCTGTAAATAGGAATTCCTGCCAATAAAATCCCCAGCACCCGGCACAGAGTCTCTCATGGTAAATAACCCACAATCACCACCAGACCTGGAATATCAAACACAAACAACGCGTGTGGGGCTTGTCCTGCTCAGAAGGATGTTCTCAAATCTCCAAACCCAGCCAGGAGCTTCCCAATTTGATTCTTCCACAATTGCTCTTCACACCCATCCCAGGCTATCCCGGCCCCTGCCCTCTGAAAGAGGAAGAGTTTTGTTTCCTAGGGAAGCCAAAAGGCTCGGAACACATTTCAGAATTGCTGGGAGAAGCGAGAGCGGATGCGCTGCCAGGCAGTGCCACCTCCTGGCTCTGAGCTGCCACAAAGGTGCACTGAAAAAAGCCATGAATACCCCAGAAAATTGTTTAGGAACACACAGCGGTGAGATTTCCAACCCCGGAGCGGAGCAAAGAGCAATTAAAGGGAAATAAAAGATGTGGATGAACTTTAATAAGAGTTTATTCCTAAAAACCGTCCCTCTAACGCATGCACCAAGAATAAACCAGTTCATTGGAACCTGGCTGAACCATAAATTGCATCGCTTCTTCCAGAGCAAATCCACCAGTTACAAACCTTCCCTATCAAATCCTCACCTTCAGCAGCGTTTTGGGACACAATCACAGCACAGATGGACAGCTGGACAGCCCCTCTCTGCTCCCAAACTGGGAATATTCACCCAAACCCCTTCAGTCCCAAATGWCAGCGTCCTCCCGGCTCTTTCACCAGTTCCTTCCCCAGATTTACCCCATTTTCCCCACTCGGAGGGTGCTGGTGGCTCCATGGCCCTGCCTCTCCACCCGACTCTCCCTGGGATAAGCAGCTTTACCACCAAGAGGATTTTCCCTGCAGTTGGAGAACCTTTCCAGATCCCTCCCAGCAGGAACAAGCAGA